TAATTTTTGATGGATGAGTACAGACACAAATATTAAATGAGAGAAGAGCCAAGTATGATGGTTTATGCCTATAATCCCAGGAGGCTGAGGCAGAAGCATTTCCACAAACTCAAGGGCTACATAGCGAGTTCCAGTCCAGCCTAAGCTACAGAGAGACATAGTAAATTAATAACCACTACAGAGTCTGAAGATATTCAAAAGGGACATTTTATGTATAATTTCACACAGATTCAATGACTTAGATAAAATAGAAAAAAATAGAAAAATCCAAACACATCTAGGAACAAATTATCTGAATAATACTGTATTTATGAAAGAAGCTGCAAACATAGTTACAAAGCTTCCCACAATGAAAATTCTAGTTACACATTATTTCATTTGAAGACTCTACAAAACATTTTAAAGAAGAAATCTAAAAGGTTAAATAGTATCCAAAATGTTATTTCCTAATTAAAAAAATAGGTCTCACTATAATCTATGCTGATCTCAAACTTAAGAGCCTATATGCCTATATGCCTTCAGTAACCAGAGGCACACCACTATGCCTGGCTTCCCAATGTTTTCAAGTTTGCATTACCCTTGTATCAAAACCAAAACCATTAGAAAGAAAATTATAAACCAATATCCCTCATGAATATACATATAAAAATCTAGTAAGATATTTTAGTAAGTTGACTCCAACAATTTACGAATAATACATTTTACCCAAGTTGGTTTATCCAAGGAATACAGCATGGGTTTCATATTCAAAAGATATGCTATATTGAAAATCAGTCAATATAACAACATACTGAACTAAACTCAAATCCTCTTTTATTAGGTAAATGAAATGATTTATAGGTGTTAGAGTAACTTTTTCTTTTTAAAGTTTGTATTTCTTTTATTTTGGCTTTAAAAGTACTGTATTAGATCCATTCATTCATTCATTCATTTGTGAGGAGGCACATGTGGAAGGAAGTCAGAGAATATTTTGTAGGAATTTGTTCTCTTTTTACACCATGTGGGTCCCAGGAATTAAGCTCAGGTTGTGAGACTTGGCAGCAAGTGCCTTTACCAACTGAGCCATCTGTCTTTGACAGCCTTGAACTAATATTTACAAGGGGTAGCCTAAAAAAAAAAAGACACATACTACAAAAATCTATGATACATCAATCAATATTTAGTCTTCTACTTTAAAAAAAAATCACCTAGTGGGGTGGGAGGGAGAACTCTGGTTGGGATGTAAAATGAAATTTAAAAAAAAAATGAATGAAATAAAAAAAATCATCTAGCAATTTGTTTCAATGAAAACAATGCCATGCAATTTTTAAAATTTATTTTAAATTTTAAATTAAATGTTTTGTCTGCATGTATATCTGTGTGAGGATGCCAGAATCCCTGGAACTAGAGGTACAGACAGTTGTGAGTTACTGTGTGGGTACTAGAAATTAAACCCAGGTCCTCTGCAAGAGCAGACAATGCTCTTAACTGCTGAGCCATCTCTCCAGTCCCATGAAACAATTTGTTATGAACAATATATAGTACAAAGGTTTTCACTGACTTGACTTTGGCAATAGCCAACATTTATTCATGATTATTATGTACATTAACAAATCTACAAGATTATAAGTTTGTACAGATATCAATGTCACATCAACAATTTTAAATTTTAAATAGGGTATGGTGCTTTTCAGTTCTGGACATAATATAGGACTTACTCCTCCCCTATCTTCCTTCACAGACTTTAAGATTTCCTATCATAGTCTTTCCCTTCTTAGTCAAAGCACCTCCTTAAATATACAATTATCACATTTCATCTTGATTTAACCTTTCTGGGGGCTGAGCAACCTAGTTCCTTCAATTACTAAAGAAAAACAAAACAAAAAAAAAAGCAACAAGCAGTAAAAGAAAATGCGACAGAATAGACTAAAATTTTTAATTTTTTTTTTTTTAAGACAGGATTTCTGTGTAGCCCTGACTGGAACTTGGTATGTAGACCAGGCTAACCTTGAACTCAAGAGATCCACCTGTCTCTATATCCTTGCCTTCTGAGTCCTGGGATTAAAGGCATGTGCCCCTATCTGGCTGTTTTGGGGTCTTGAGGGGGTTGTTGCTGTTGTATGTTTTAGATAGGATCTCGCTATATAGCTCTGGCTGTCCTGGAACTCACTATATAGACTAGGCTAGACCCAAACTTGCAGAGATCTGCCTGCCTCTACCTCCCAAGTACTGGGATTAAAGGCATGCTTGCCAGCACTGTTGATTTAAAATTTAAAACAAAATTTTAAGTTTCAGGATATTATGCAGAATGCAAAAGCAGCTCAGTCTAGAAGGAAATATTTTCAAACCAGATATTCAATAAGAGTTTGTGTTTACCCTCTGAGACTGATCCCAGGGCCTGCATAGCTGCTCACATCTGTCTTCTAGTTTCTGGAGATCTGATGTAGCCTTCTAACCACTATGGGCAGTAGGTATGCAAGTGGTGCAAATAGACATGCAAGAAAAATATCCATATACATAAAACTTTTAAAATTAGTGTGTATGGGGGGGTGTAGAGGTCAGAAGGCAACTGTAGAAGCTGGTTCAGTTTTTCTACTATGGATCCTGGAGAACAAACTCATGTTGTCAGGTTTAATGGTCTTTACCCACTCAGCCATCTCACCAACCTCCCCACAGCTTTAGCCTGCTATCTGTCCATCTGTCTGTCTGTCTTATCTATCTAGTCTTAATACTACCCAGGCTGGTCTCAATCTTGCTCTGTAGCTAAAGATGAAGTCTTGCTCCTTCTGCCTGCACCTCTTCACTTCTTGTACCTGGGAGTGGCCAGACTACCAGCAAAGTCTCCAGCAAACCTCAGGTCATATTAACATTATCTGTGCATCCTATACAGCTTCCCAGCTTCTACTTCTCAGTCCTCTTTAAAACTTCTTGAAGCCTGGTGTAGCAGTGTTAAGACTTTAATCCCAGCACTAAGAAGCAGGCAGATTCCTGAGTTCCAGGACAGCCTGCTCTACAAAGTGAGTTCCAGGACAGCCAGGGCTACACAGAAATCCTGTCTTGAAAAAAAAATTTTTTTAGTATATTATGTCACACAGAGAAACCCTACCTTGAAAAATAAAAACAAAGAAACAAAAGCCCCAAAACAAAACTTCTTGAACTCAGATGAGGCCTTTTTAACCCTTTGTAGTCAGACAAATGTGATGTGTAATGTGTTATCTGAGAGTTAATATTAGTAGTTAATAAAGGAATCTAGAATAAAAGAACCTAGTTTTGGAAAAAAAAAAAAGAACCTGGCTTTGCCTGGGTTGACTATTAACTAAATTGTTACTATGTGGCAAATCAATGCCAATGAAGCCATCATACCTTTTGATCTTACTGATATTCAATAAATTTTGGGGGTGGAGATATGGTTCAGTACTTGCCTAGCATAAACAAAGTTCCAGTTTTGATCTCCAACACTACATAAAACAGGCATTATGACAAATACTTATAATCCCAGCAGTTAGGACCTGGGAGCGGGAAGATCAGAAGTTTAAGGTCATCATGTGCCACATAATCAGCTTGAGGCCAGTTTGGACCACATGAAAGCCTGACAAAAAACCAATTCTAACTTTGACTTTGTAGACAGGCACAAACATATTCATTATATTTATGACAGCACCCTCACAACAATGAGCCACCATGTCTAGGGACCATTGTTCTTTTATATTCTACCAGTAAAACAACTATCATATGACCTATCCCATCCTCAAATAGAGTCTCACTATATATAGTCCTGGATAGCCTAAAACTATATAAACCAAGTAGCCTTGAACTCAGAAATCTGCCTGTCTCTCCTTCCTGAATGCTGGGATCAAAGGCATGACCCACCATGCATGGCTCATATGCCACTCCAAGTATCAGCATGACATTCCCCATGTCTGCTTCCTCATGTCATGATAGGCACAAAGTAAGTGTCAATATGCATGCTATGCCATAGTAATTTCCTTCAAGTTGATATATACCATCTTGGATGGAAGCTCATTAAGACCCAGAATGAAAGTAGGGCAGTGGTAGTACACACTTTTAATACCAGCATTGGGAGGCAGAAGCAGGCCTCTGTGAGTTCAAGGCCAGTCTGGTCTACAGTGAGTTCCTGAACAGTCAGAACTACAGAGAAACCCTACCTCAAAAGGGGCAGAGGCAGGCATGATGCTGCACCTTTAATCAACCCCAGCACTTGGGAGGCAAAGGTAAGCAGATTTCTGTGACTTTGAGGACAACTGGTCTACAGATGAGTTCCAGGACAGCCAGGACTATCTCAAAAACAACAACAAAAGACCGAAAATGAGGGTCCTTAAAAGTTAGGAAGTAAACAACTTAGAAGCCTCAGGAAGTCCCTGAAACTAACCTGAGGTCCTAGGCCCCTTCCTCCTCAAGGTAATATAAGGGGTAAGAACTGCTGAGAAACACCAGAACAAAACAGTAGCTTTGAAGAAGCATAGACCCCTGGAAGGAGAGGTCAGCTGGGCTGCCTGAAAGATACTTTCCAACCTGTCAAGCTGTCTGCGGCTTTCACCCATGCTGGGGCGGACTTTTGATGACACAGCTGCCTTTGAGTCATTTCTGCTTCTGTAAATAACTCCATTCGCATGTGGCCATAAGTAACCCCAGTAAACTCACTGGCAAGTAGTATCTGGTGATATCCTTACTTTGGTCTATTGGCAATTCCCAGTCTGGGATAAGTAGATGTTTATGTCCCTCAGAAATACTGTCATGCATGCAAAATGATGAATGATTCTTTCATTTTCTAGAGGCTGTTAAATATGATACACACACACACACATACACATAAATATACCCACAATTACACAACTATAAAATATATAAAACTAGTCCCATTACATGATTCATGGATTTCTCACCTTGTATTTTCTTTGTATTCTCACTTTCCATGCTTGTCTTTTTCTCCTTATATTTCATCTAGAAGATAGGGTATTTTTAGTTAGACCAGCTTCTAAGAAATATTCTAGGCAGTATGCTTGCTTCAGTAACACATATACTAAAATTGGAATGATACAGAGAAGATTAGCACAGCTACTTCACAAGGATGAGGCACAAATTCATGAAGCAGTCCATGTTCCAAAAAAAAAAAAAAAGAAAGAAAAAGAAAGAAAGAAAGAAAGAAAAAGGAAAAAAAAAAAAGAAAAAAGAAAAAAGGAAAAGAAAAATGAAAGAATGAAATATTCTGGGCATGATGGGGCAAGTCTGTAATCTATAGTCAGGAAAGGGAGTGGCAGAAGGACCATGAGTTTGAAGCCCTGAGCTACATATATAAAGTTCCAGGCCTGCCAGGAACTTCAGAAAGAAAGGGGGTGAGGGGTGGGAGGAAGATTGTCTCCAAACAAACAAAAAATCCTCACAAATCATGGGTGATCCCTGGGACCCACATGATAGAAGAAAAGAAACTTTCACTGGATACCTCCTAACCATGCAAGTGCTAACCCATACATGCACACACACACACACACACACACACACACACACACACACACACACACACACAGAGGTACAGAAACATATGTACAGAAACAGAAATAATTAAAAATAAATATTTGTAGCAAAGAACCAGTTGCAATTTTCTAAAAGATAATTTTAAAATTATAAATAGCTCATTTTCCAAGCCAAAAGTATGTGCCAAATAAAGCAATTATGAAATGTTTTCAGTAATTTTTTGAAAAGATAAAAATTACCACCAACAATGAGATTTAAAAAGTTTTTACTGTGTCCTCTTAAGGGAAAAACAAAAACTCAAAAACGTTTTCACATAATAGAAAGCACAGTCCTTACAGGTTTTACTCATTCTCCAAAACAGTGTTTCTCAATCTTGCTAATGCTTCTACCCTTTAATACAATTCCTCATATTGTGGTGACTCTCACAACCATAAAATCATCTCGTTGCTACTTCATAACTGTAATTGGAATGTAAATATCTGATATGCAAACCCCCCGGAGGGGGGTCACGACCCACAGGTTTAGAATCGGTGTTCCAAAACGTCAAAAGGTCAAGTGCAAACTTTACTAGGAAAACTAGTAGGGAAAATAAATAAGAAAACTGCCTGAGTATTTGTTCTCTACCCCTTTAGTCCTAGGGATAGGACTCAAGATAAATCTATCATTAAGCAACCTACTCATCTCCTGACATGAGCTTCTCTAGAAACGTTCATAAAAACAAAAACCAAAATGAAAAAAATATGTATCTGCTCCACCCCCCATGAGAGACAGAACATCTTTCTGGGTGGGGCTGGCAGAGCTGAAAATCCTAGGTTTAACTGCTATTGTAAGTTGTACAAGGTGGACGTCTCTGCCTTGGAAGCATATACACTGTGGAAAGCATCTCTCTCTAACTTGCCCTATCAACTTTCTGCTTCCAAGGTTTAAAGAGATTAAAACATGCCATTCAAGGTCCAGAAAATACTCTGGGGTAACAAGAACCAGCTCAAAGATGGATAGGATGTGGGGGCCGAAACTCTCACCCTAGCCCAGGTTCATCTGTACCGCGGGTCCATCATCTTTCCACTGGTCCCTCCCTGTCTTTCACTCGAGGCTACGAGGCCTGGCTCACCTAAAGAGCCCAAGGAGTCTTCTAACGAGGGCCGGCGGTCGGTCCCACGGGTTCCTCTCCACAATTCTCGGTGTACCGGGCACTGCTCCCAAGCCTGGCTCTGCCAGACCTCCCGGGAGCAATCACCCAGATCCCAAGGCTCGCGGTTCAGTTGATGTTCCCCTGGGACACGTGGTTCTGTCCTCGTTCTCACAAACGAAATCCCCTGTGGACCCAACACTTTCCACACAGCACAATCACCTGGAGCAGCACGGGCGTCCACAGGCGTCCGACAAGTCAGAGTATGATGGTCTTTCCCACAATGCGGCCTGGCGCCAGCTCAGGAAAGCCCTGGTCCTCCTCAGCTCAACGTGTCCCTTCAGGTGAGCCAGTTAAGCAGGGCCATGCCATCACCACAGCTCTGGGAGCAGGAGTCCGCCAGTCCCAGAAGGCAAAGTTGGGCTGAGCGGCGGCAACACCCTAGACCGGAAGCGGGAACTGCAAGCCTTTACCCTGGAGCCGCGAAGCTTCTCAGCCCCACAGCAGCTCTTCCCCAAGGAAGCCCAGACTACGACGCCTGACTGGGTTTCCCTCCCAAAGCCAGGCAAGTTTACATCCGCTGGGCGGGACTTCCGGCTGGACACCTGCAGCAGCCTATTCTCATAGCAGCAGCTGGCTGGTCGCTCTCTTACTGAGGGCAGGCTGGAGGTGGTCAGCGCGTGGTGCCCGGTTTTAGATGGAGAACGTTATAACCTGAGCTTACCACCTCAGTATTTAGGGCTTCCCTTCTTGGAAAGGGACATTTGCTCCCTCCTGACTTTGTCCAACACCAGACTTTCTTCCATTACATTGGACATTCGATGCAGGTCTTGAGTGAATTCCTAAACCACAATTTTTAGTTCTGCCCAAGCCAACCTCACACTGAGACTTAAATGTAGTCCAGGTGTAATGTTTCCTTTCTAGCAGAATCAATCCAATAGGACTGTCGGGAGATGGAAGTGCTGTCAGAGGGCTTCCCAGGCTGTGGGAGGCTATTTAATAAAACAGACAGCCAAGCAAAAAATGACACAGTAGTATCCAAGAAAATAAAAGCCCTATCAGCCCCGCGTGCCCCCTCCACTTGTCAGTTATAACAGGCTCTCACATAGGAGACGGCCTTTGAAGGTATTATACAGCAGGCAGTTTAAGAGCCTTAAGCTACTGAGTCACATTAACAGGTTTAGCAAGCAACACACAAGTCAGAAACTAAGCCCTACTCCCATTTCTATATTTCTAATTTGCTGCTATTCCTCATCTTAAAGAGTATTTTTCATCTAATATAATAGTAAATGTTATTATTCCAATTTGATTATTCATTAAAAGGAAGTCTACGGAATGGGACAACCCTATGAAATTTCAACAAGTAGGTAATAGTGGTAAAAACTATATATATATATGTGTGTGTGTGTGTGTGTGTGTGATATAATGAATGACACTGTAAGGAAATGGCATTGTTTTCTGATAAAACTACATATCCTGAAATGTTTCTTTTAAAATTCTATTTTAACAAATAATGATCTTTAAATGTGCACAGCTAAAATCCATGTCTTCAATTCTCTTCAATTCATTGATATGGTTGTTTTTACTTTTTCTAATAAAACGTATATGTCTATGATATGTAACTGCCAAGTAGCAAACCAGTATTAACTACATTACAAAGAGATAGCTTTTATTCTTCAGGAAAATGGCTTTTCCCCCACCACCTACCTCAAACAACAAGACTATATTACAAACAAGAAAAATGTTTATTAAGGAAAACAATTTAACAGATTTTACAAACTAAAGCACAATATGAAGACAATTACAGTTTCATTCATTAACATATTATATGTGGTACTTATTCAGTCATTAACATATTACACGGAGTGCTTATTCTACAACTGGAAAGTTGCAGAAGTCTGTGACATTCCACTATAAATGTAAGTATTATTAAAAATTACAAATTGCTTGGTGATTATTTTGATAACTTCTTGAGCAGCAGCTCCTGTAAAAAAAAAGGAGAAAAGTAAATCTTTGAAAATAATAAATTTTAATAGTTAAATAATATAAGCCAGACTGGGCCTGGTGGTACATGCTTTTAATTGTAGCACTCAGAAAGCAAAGACAGGAGAATCTCTGTGAGTTCAAAGCCTGCCTGCTAAATATAGTGTTCTAGGCCAGTCAAGGATATACAGTGAGACCCTGTCTCAAAAAAAAAAAAAAAAAAAAAAAAAGCCCAGCATTGGTGGTGCACGCCTTTAATCCCAGCAGCACTTAGGAGGCAGAGGCAGGCAATCTCTGTGAGTTCAAGACCTGGTCTGGTCTACAAGCTAGTTCCAAGACAGGCTCCAAAGCAATACAGAGAAATCCTGTCTCGAAAAACAAAACAAACAAAAAAGAACAAGAACCAGGTGTGGTAGCACATGACTCTAGGAAGTAGAGGCAGGATGATCATGAGTTCATGGCCAGTTTCAGTTACAAAGGGAGGCCAACCTGGGATACATGAGATCTATGATATACAGAATACACTGTAGATAAAGCAGAGTACAGAAGAGAGAAAAAAACAAAGCAAATCCATAAAGAAAGCAAAGTTGTTTAAAAGTAATCTAAAGTAAATACAGCTTACTGAGTCATAACAAAATAAAAGACTATAAATATTTTTGTTTGCTTTTTTGAGACAGGGTCTCTCTATATAACCCTGGCTGTCCTAGAACTCATTACATAGACCAGACTAGCCTCAAACTGCCAACTGTCTCAGCCTCCCAAGTGCAGGTAGTAAAGGAAGGTGTGTGCTGCCATGCCCAGCAAGACACTATAATTCTTTATAACTATGTTATTAAAGAAAATAGAAGGCTAATTTTAGGAATTACCCAATGAAATACTGGGCAACAAATTTTAGAAAAAAAGTTATTCTTAATTATGGGATTTAGAAAGCTAACAAGATATAGTGAATGAACAAAGAAAAGTTTAAATAGTAGTTTGGTTGAAGGAATTTTTTAAAAGGATACAAAGAGGCATAAAGATCTTCTTCAGCCAGGTGATGGTGCTGCACACCTTTAGTCCCTGCACTTGGGAGGCAGAGGCAGGTGGATCTCTGTGAGGTGGAGGCCAGGCTGGTCTACAGAGTGAGTTCCAGGACAGCCAGGCTACACAGAGAAACCCTGTCTCGAGAAACCCAAAAATCCACAAAAGATCCTCTTCAAAGAAAGCCCTTCTGTTGCATTCAAGAGTGGTGTGTGTGTGTGTGTGTGTGTGTGTGTGTGTGTGTGTGTGTGTGTGTGTGTGTGGTACACTGAGGATTGATGGGAGATGTCATTCTGTAAATATGTTTCTCTTATTGATTAATGAATAAAGCTCTGTTGGCCAATAGGAAAGTAAGATAGGCGGGACTAGGAGACAAGGAGGAGAAAGGAAGTGGTAGGGAGGGGATCCAAGATGGAGGAGTGAGAGAGAAGGACACCAGCCCCTCTCTCTGGTGTAAGATAAGACCATGTGGAAATACTTAGATTAATATTTAAGACAGAGCTAGCTGATAAGAAACTAGTAACTGGCCTACAGCTTTATATCTAATACAGTGTCTCTGTGTGTTATTTGGGGCTGGTGCGGCGGTGGGACCAGACTGACAGGGAAAAACACTACTCAATACTAGTTAAACAGCACACTGTTACTGAGCCACATCCTCAGCTTTGACATTCATTTCTAATTCAGAATCACTCTACACTATACAACAGTGCTCCTATAAAGTACTCAAAACAAAACACAAAATGGCAAAATTCCACCAAGACTCTACTACACACCAAATCATCTTTCAGGCTCCACAGATAAAGCAGAGTACAAGAGACAAAAATATCTGCTGCTTGCTCACTTGGGTCTTTCTCATTCGAAGCAAGAGAAACGATAGCTTAAAAATAAACAATGTATAGTTTTTAAAATGGCTAAAGAGCTGCAATAAAAAAGAAAAAAAAAAAAAGAAAAGGAGGAAGAGTACAAGAGAACTGGCTCAAGTTTATGTAGGGAAAGCCTCAGAGAAGAAGCTTCAAAAATCATTACAAAACATACAAATTAAGGCCTTCTAACTTTAGACCTCTCTGATTGTATCTCTCAGAATCTGGACTAGAACTGAATAAATAATATACTCTTTTCTGTGAATTTTCAATTACTTTACTATTTAGACATAAAAGAATTATTTTACTTAAATAAATTATCAGGAATCAGGCTTTGTGTTTGCTTAACATACAATTTTCTTAGGTCTGCATTATTAGCATTCTGAACACTATTAATCAGACTGGATCTGCCTTCAAAATAATCATTCACCTAGATAGGAAAATAACATAAGCAAGCTCAGGCCATTGAAAGTAATAGGCAGGAGATTAATTTTTTTTTTTTTTAAGATAGGGTTTTTCTATAGTTTTGGAGCCTGTCCTGGAACTCTATCGACCAGGCTGCCTCGAACTCACAGAGATCCCTCCTGTCTCTGCTTCAGGAGTGCCAGAATCAAAGGCATGCGCTACCACTGCCCAGCTGAGAATAATTTTTTAAAAGGTATTATTTACTTACTGTTTGTGCTCCCCCTTCCCCTGCCATTAATATGTTGAAAACTCTCAATGCAATGGTATTAAAAGATAGAGCTTCTGGAAAGTGACTAGACCATGAGAGTGGAGCCTTCATAAATGGGTTTATTCCCTTATTAAAAAAAAAAAAAAAAGACCCTGCAGGTTTCTTTTGACATTTTTAAAAAGAAATATGTGAGAACACAGTAAGAAAAAAAAAATACTATATATGCTTCTGGCAGAGAGATCACAACAGAACCTAACGATGTTGGCACCCTCAGTTTAATCTTTGAAAACCATAAGAAATAAATTCCGATGTTTGTAAGGTACCCATACAGTAACCAACCAAATTGACTCAAAGAAGAAATGGTAGGACAAACAAAGGGGTCTTTATGAAAGAAATGGCAGCTTTGAACTGGGCTCTGACAGACAAAGATCTAGGGCATGTCTCAGGGAAAAGAAGGTACACAGCATCTTTAAGGCAAGTTAGTCTTTGTTTCTGAGAATTATTCGAGCAGAAGACAAGATAGTGAGAAGCAGAAGAAAGGCCTATGTGTACTCGTGCTCAGAAAGTTAAGTGAGGCTCTTGATCAAAAGCATCCCTCCAAAGGACTAATGACTCTTTATGTAAGGAAAACAGTATAGAGAGCTAATGACTAACCTAAACTTAACAGCCTGCTTCATTGACCTCCCTAACTAAAGTAGCTAAGAAAACAAAAGCTAATATAAATAATTACTCTGTAACAACAAGTAAGTCATTTCATAATAAAACTCACCTCCCAGAAATGCAGCAATGGTGTGTGGCTCAGCAGCTCCATATCGGCAACTACAGGAAAAGAGGGAGGTATGAATTTTTATTAATCTCAACACAAACGGGGAGTACTGTTATCTCTATATACTCTCAAGAATACTCACAATTCATGGACGTAATCATCTTTCACCATTACAGATAACCCATATTCCTGAAGGAAGCCAGTAAGACAGGACTTCAACTTCCCTATATCTTCTTCAACTTGATAGTTAGATACTCCTAAAAAATTACATATGTTATAAATACATATATGCATTTTTATTAAATTTGTGGGCTGGATGTACTAGCACACAACTTTAATCCCAGCACTCAGGAGGCAGAGGCAGGTACAAAGTTAATGCCATGACAGCCAAGGCTGCATAAAGACCATGTCTCAGGAAAAAAAAAAAAAAGTGATTCAAATTAATGGCTATCTCCTTTGCTTACTTAATCTAGTTTCAGGTGGTCTAATCAAAATAGTAAGTTATGAAACTAAAGAACAAAGTAATAAAACATGAAACCAACATCTGAAAGTATCACAAATCGGTAAGTAAAGAGATAACTAAAATCTACCACAAACTGAAGTTCATTAAGTCTTTGTCAGGTTCAGGGACTGGCAGTTAGTAAAGTGGGACTCAGCATGCACAAAGCTTTGGGTTTGATCCTGATACCACCTAAACCAGGCACGATGGTCCTAATCCCACCCAGCATTCTGGTGTGGTTTATGTCTATTTGTTTTTAAGTCTTTGTTAATTATTGTTCTAGAAGAGTAATATATAATACTTAACAATTATGTGATCAAAGAACTAAAGAGAAAGCACCTTACTTATGTTCTTTAAGTTTTTATTTTCTTTCTGTTTTGGAGTCTTATATATCCCTGGCGGCCTCAAAATTGCTGCAGCCAGGGGGGTGACTGCACTTCTGATTCTTCTGCCTCTACCTCCCAGATGGGAGAGATAACAGGCATGTGCTTTTTTAATAATGGAGATCACTAAACCTAGGGTGTCATGCATGCTACAACTATAAATTAGCTAATTTCCCACCCTTAATTTCCATTTATAAGAGATGAAATGATATTGAGTGTATAAAGCCCTAATAATATATAACATTTATTGAACAATAGTAGATGATGGATACTATTCTAAGTGCTTATACACTGACTTAATTCTCATAAAAACTCTATGAAGTAAATACTATTTCCATTTATAGCTGTTTCATCTAGTTACTTAGCTCATGAACAGCAAAAGTAGAATGTAAGACAAGGATTTTGTTGTTGTTTTCCCATGCAGGGAATTGAATCCAGAATGTTAGAGCAAGGATTCTACCAACAAGCCAGTCCTAAGTTATTTCTTTCTCTTTTTTGTTGTTTGCGATAGTCTCACTCTGTATCCCATGCTGACTTCAGACTTCAGTCTTTCTACCTCAGCCTCCTGAATGTTAGAACCATATCTAGGTGCCAAACATCTCAGTAAAGAGAGTGAAGATGTCTCGTAGACATTTAATTCAGTCAAGACTTTGGGATCTCAAGCCTACCTATCATACAACTACTTGAGAACTTCTCTCTGGAACTGCCTCAGTTCAATCAACAAAACACCGGAGATGATTTAAGGCTGGCAAGATGGTCAGTTTGTAAAGTGCCTGCTGTATAAGCAAGAAAATCAGACTTCAATCTCCAACAACCCACATAAAAAAACTGGGCATAGTGGCATGTCTATAATCCCCATCATTGGGGAAGCCAAGACAGGAGGACCCCTAAGGTTTGCCGGCCAGCCAGTATAGCCAAATGTGTGAGTTCTCAGTTCTGTGAGAGACCTTGTCTTAAAACGTAATGTGGACAGCAACCAAAGATACCTAATGTCAACCTCTGACCTCCAAACACAATCAAATATTTGTACATACCCTCCACCTCAACTTGTTTTAAACCCCTGTTTTTGAGTGGTTTCCTATGCAAAAAATAACCAAAGTACATTCTAGTCAAATGGTATAAGTAAACCAATATATGCTTAATGATTTTTTTTTCCCCTTCTAGTAAATGTGTTCACTGTGTCCATAAACTAGGGGTTACTTCATTAGTTGGGACAACTGGTTTTATAAACTATCTACAATGCACTGCTATGCAATAATCATGTACATTTACAATTACCAAAAAAAATATATTCTGAGCACTGTGGACATTTAAGATTATACAAGTTTTCCAAGACAACAAAAAAATAATGAAGATACAAGGAAGTCCTTGTATCTTTCTTGGCTTCAGAGTTCAGAAGCCACTGATATACTGCTTGTGGGTTTCCTATTCCTTCAGGTTAAACTCAATGTGAGTTACAGGAGTAAACTAAGAGCTGGGAATGGTGGTACACATTCATCAATAGTCTTCTGAAGGATAAAGCAAGACCAAGAGTTCAAAGTCAGCCTCTGATAAACAAAGAGCAAGTTCCAGGCCAGGCTTTAAAAACTAAAAAAGCTGACTGTGACTGATCATATCTATGATCCCAGCACTTTGGAGATGCAGGCAAGAGGACTGCTACAAGACTGAATCCAGTGTGAGTTATGCAATGAGTCAAGGGCAACCTGAGCTATACAATGAAACCCTGTCTCAAACACACACACACACACACACACACACGAGACAAAAAAACAAAAACAAAACAAAAAAACTAAAAAGACTATTAGAGAAGACAGAAGTCAATTATGATAACAGAAAAAAAAATTTCCTTCTATACATATTCAACCAATACTCAACTCTAACAGTTTTGAATCAAATTATCTATATGTAAGTAGTTTGCCTTAAAAATCAAATAGTAGTTCCTTTAAATACCCACAGAATACTGAAACTCAGGTCAAGTGTTTCTGTTTTGTGGGGGTTTTTTGTTTTGTTTTGTTTTGTTTTGAAACAGAGTTTCTCTGTGTAGACCTAGCTGTCCTGGAACACAGTCTATACAGCTGGTTGGCCTTGAACTCAAGAGATCCTCCAGCCTCTGCCTCCCAAGTGCTGTGATTAAAGTTTAGTGCCATCAATGCCAGTGTTTGTTTGTTATTTGTTTTAAACAGTTTCTCTCTACAAAACAATGGCTGTCCTGGAACTCATGTAGATCAAGTTGGTCTCAAACTCACGAGATCCACCTGCCTCTGACTCCCATGTGCTAGGATTAAAGATGAGGGCACTATACCTGGCATTAGGTCAAGTATTTGTTCAAAATTTTATTGAGCCAGATGTGATGGTTCATGCCTATAAATTCAGTACTTAAAGAATCTGATGAAAGATCACAAGTTCAAGGCCAGCCTGAGTTAAGTAAGATCCTATCTCAAAACAACAACAAAAACAAAACAAACTACAAAACAATGAAAAGCCAAAAGCTTTTTTTTTTTTTTTTTTTTTTTTGTATTTTTTAGAGACAGGATTTCTCTATGTAGCCCTGGCTGTCCTGGAACTGCTCTATAGGCCTCAAACTCAAGAGATCCTCCTGTCTCTGCCTCTCAAGTGTTGGCATTAAAGGTGTGTGCCACAACTGCCCAGTTATTTTCTTTGTATCTAGTAAGTCAATTGCTGTTCTTACCTGGGTATCTGCCATGCTGTTTATGAAATCTATCAACAGCCCGCAACATTAGGTACAGGACTATCTCATTATCTGGATTGTCCATGCTAGAAACTGAAAGAAAAAAAGAAAATAAAACCAGTAGAACTGGACAACTTACAGCATACAAACAACAAAAAGCTAACTCCATACTTAAGTTTCAGGATATAAGACAATATTAGCCAAAAACAACAACAACAAAAAAAAACTAAGGGTCTTATGGACTACTAGCTGGAGTATCTACCAAAGGAGAAAAACAGCCAAGTGGTACAAGTGGTAGTGGCACACCTTTAATACCAGCACTTGGAGGTAGAGGCAGGTGGAGCTCTTGAGTCTGAGATCGAGGCCAGCCTGGTCTACAAAGGGAGTTCCAGGATAGCCAGAACTGCTACTCAGAGAACACTGTCTCAAAACAAAGAAACTAAAACAAAAACACCAAAAAAAAAAAAAAAAAAAAAAAAAAAGTAGAAACACAATGGTGTAGTTTTTATACACAGCACACAATGCACTCAGTAATCTAAATATAGTGTTCTGTATTTATTTTTGTATAACATATACAAATTAAAATCATTCAGGTAAATGTACAAAATAGAATATAAAAAACATTTTTATAAAACCATTTATTTAACGCTATTATACACATTTTAGTAATAACTTTTAACTTAGCATTTAGTTATTATACTCACTAATTTCATCTTTGTTGACTGTATCCAAACCATACTCTTCAGCTAAAGAGCGACATCTTACCACTCGAAGGAATGCAGAATTGCTGCCTGCAAACAGTAAGGTCTTCAGAATGGTTATGACAGGTGAATATAGTTAATTATGGGTCACTTTAAGAACAAGAAACTGGGGCTACAGGATGACTCAGCAGTTAAAGACAGCTTGGTGTTGATCAAGAGGAACTGAGTTCAGTTCCCAGAATTCATATCAGGTATCTATGACTACTTGTAACTCCAGCTTCAAAGGGATTTGATACATCTGACCTCTGAAGGTACACATCTCCATACACAGATATGCACATAATTTAAAAATAAAATTGTAAGCATTTATTCATTAAAAATTTTATTGAGTGGCCACAGTACAACAGGTTATGTTAAATATTGAATATCAATGGTATGAACTAATTCCTTCTTTGTTTATATTCTCAGTTTTGTGTGTAAGAAAGGCTTAAAATTTTTTGTGTCCATGTGTATGTTCTTTGGGGCTTCCTCTGTTTAACTGATAAGTCATCCCTTCAGCCCTGTAATTAATTTTTTGGAGCTTTTACTTGGGTTTATTGTATATGCAGGGATGTGCTTACCCATATGTGTACATGTGGAGAATAGAGATTGATTCTAAGTACCTTGTTGCTCCACTGTTTTATTTTTATTTTCACCTTGTATTTTTGTTGTGTGTGTGGTTTTGTTTTTGAGACAGGGTCTAGTAGAAACCCAGAGTTCACCATTTCGGATAAAGTGAACTCACTTCCTCATGTCTGCATGGCCAGCACTTAACCTACTGACCTATCTCCCCAACCCGCAACTGATTCAAGGAGAACGCTTTCACCCACTGAGAAATTAGGAGAAAACCCCAGAAGCCAGCCATGAACTATATGCAAATTCTTAATTCCATTATAGTCATTTAAGACAGATCAAATGAGTACCTATGGCCCAGTCTTAAAATTTCCTTTTTATTACAAGATAATAAAAATTTACTTAAGGACACAACCCACTTGGGAATTTCAGCCATTTAAAACTCCCAAGAACATTCTCTGTAGCATATTTTTATCAAGCAAAATAGGAAATTAAAAGGACTTACAAAGCAATTTTAATTCTTTCTCGGAAATGGACTCTGGTGCCTATAAAGAGATAAATGCAGATTTTTCTCCACCACAAGTACATACACACACAAAAGATAATACAGGGCACAGCTCAAAATCAATGGCCAAGGGCTCAATGAAATGAGAAGCTCTCTACAAGAATTGGGAGAATATTTCACACACCTGTTTTCTTATATCAGGAGGTTCTCATTAGATAGACAAAAGAAACAAGAAGCTAGGGTAATGCTTTCTATCTCTAACCCTTTCCTGGTTGAGTTCCATGCCTGCAGGGAGTAGTACTTATTGTCAAAGTGCAATATGCTCAGCAGCTTACCTGGCCAACAGACTGAAGCAATTTGGCAACGTGATTACCCACAGCAGCAGCATCTTTCTTTGCTTTCTCACGGTAACTAAAAAAAGAACAACAAAATCCCTATAATTAAAATTAGCAATACTTAAATCACCTGTAAGTGAAAAAATGTATTTTAATAAAAAAAATACTGATTTAGAAACATATGAAATTGAAAATGATAGAGAAATGCCACCAGCAGCACCTCTTACTAGTCAGGGGTCATTTAGGAAATGGCAGTAAGACTTTTGAAGTCCTCTAAAACCAAGACTCCCATTATACTCTACAGCACCCAACTTAATTCACCCAGGCAACATCCATGGAGTCTTTATTTATTTATTTATGTTTATTTTATGTATGAGTGCTCTATCTGCATGTGCATCTTTAAGCCAGAAGAGGGCACCAGATCCCACTAGAGATGGTTGTGAACCTCCATGTGGTTGCTGGGAATTGAACTCCGCACTTCTGGAAGAGCAGCCAATGCTCTTACCTGGGCTAGAGAGCAGCCAATCTCTCTAGCCCTGAGTTTTTATTTTTAATCGTTTTCTTTTGGTCATTAATCTTTCATAACTTAAGGAGTCAATAACTGTAAATAAATTCCTATTATCTAAGTATCCCTACTCTGACACACATAGACTTGTAAAGTTGAGTCTCCATGGATGTTACCTTTTTATAACTGGGGTATGGTTCTGATGAATCCAAGGCTACTACTGGCTTGGCTTCTTCCAGGGCCAAGTATTGCCATACAGAGAAGATCTTGGTCAGTGTCTAGCAAATCTTGGTTTGTTGTCCTAGTCTAAGAGTTGAAATACTGAAATTTGGGAAAGGGCAATTGAAAACAGAAAGTAGTATGACTTTAGGGACATTGCTCAGTAGTAGAGTTCTTGCTTAGCATGTATATGAGGACCTAGATTCAATCCCCAATAGTATTACCCTCACCCAAGAAAGAAATATGACTATATCTGGGAGAGACTCAGCTTTAATACTGATTATTTTTACGTGTGTGTGTGTGTGTGTGTGTGTGTGTGTGTGTGTGTGAGAGAGAGAGAGAGAGATATGTAAAACATTTTAAAATGTAACATTAAACATTTAAAATATAACATTTTTAAAAGTTTTACATGATTTATATTATGGGGCAGCTTTGAAGTATGTGATTTTCTTTGTACTTCAAGGAGGTAGGTTGTTAGTAAAATATTTTTTTGGGTCCACTATCAGAAACCAGGGTCCTGAGTCCCTCTAGCAGGGCAGATTTAAACAGTCTGTTACACAGTTTAAAAACAGTCAGCAAGGTATGGTGGTACACACTTTTAATCCCAACACTCAGGAGGCAGAGGCAGCTGGATTTCTGAGGGTTCAAAGCAAGCCTGGTCTACAAAACTAATTCTAGTACAGCCAGGGCTACACAGAGAAACCCTGCTTTGAAAAACAAACCAAACAATAACAAAACAGTCACTTACACATTCTGCAGTTTTATGTATTTGCTTGAATCTGCAATCATATCAGGAATTGTACCTCGAACAGGCAAATTTCCTTGACCTTCTTTAGCCACAAATTCCTTTAGGGCACGGGCTAGTATCCAAAAAGAAGGGGTCTAAAAGAACAAAGAAAAACTACAAGTGAGGGGTGTTTATTTTGAGCTGGAGCGGAAAGCAACAGCATCTTTATTTCTTGTTACCTGTTTGGTGATGTTTATGCAGCGATCATCATTGAATATATCTTCAATACTGCTTGGGACCTAACAAAGGAACATGAAACACTTACTTACATTAAGAATTCTGGCTGGGTGGTGGTGGCACACACCTTTGATCCCAGCAATCGGGAGGCAGAGCCAGGCTCCAAAGCCACAGAGAAACCATGTCTCCAAAAATCACACACACACAAAAAATTCTGTTCACCTTTACTTTCAATGCTATTTCTTCAATAAGTTCTTTGCATTTTCAAAGTGCAGCAAAATAACTTCTGATGTATTTAGAATCAGAATCTGATTTTTTTTTCAGTAAAAATGCACAGATCTCACATGTACAATTGGATAGTTATACATATGCATTTTCAACATTCTCTCCAACTAAGATAGATGTTCTTCAGTTAGACTGACTTACATGGCATTCACTCAGCAATACTGTTTGAATGTCTTCAAAATGTCTACAAGACTTAAGTGCTTTCCTTATATGAAAGGCAGTACTCTGGCTAATGAATTGTAAAAAAAATTCTAAAAATATTCCAGGCATCTTATTCCCTAGTTCCCCCAAATTAAAAACAAAACTGACCAAACTGCAAAATAGTAATAATGATTAAAAAGTCTTTTGTACTACTATAACCCAAATTGAGCTTAAATTCACTATGTAGCCCAAGCTGACTTCAGGCCTCAAAATTCATAACCCACATGCCTGAACCTCCAAAATGCCTTGATTGCAGGTATTTATAAGCTACCATACCTGGACTATAATTTTTGAAATGTACAAGTCATTCATAACATCTCCAATCTAAATAACTGCTGTCAGAAGAAAATGCAAGGTAACAAATTTAAGTTTTTGAATAACCACTCCCCAACTCCCCAGAGAGAGTTTTCCTGTGAAGACCCAGCTGTCCTGGAACTCACTCTTTATATCAGCCTGCCTCTGCCTCCCAAGTGCTGGGATTAAAGGCCTGAGCCACCACCACCCAGCCGAGAAACACTTCTTTTGACTACCAAGCATCACTTATAATTCTTACGTCCAAATTCACAACTATCCATAAATCATATTCTCAAAATAATTTATATATTTCTCTAAATGAAAAAGAACAAAAATAACCTATTATATGGTGAAACACTAACATCATTTTAAATAAAAGAAAACTTTTTTTAACTTTTTTGAGACAAAAGTCTCATGTAGCCCAGCTGGTTTTAGATGACTACTGATCTTCTTGCCCCTCTTCCCAAGTGGTAGAGCTATAAGCATTCACCACCATACAGCACTCAAAACCATATTAAAAGAAATCTCAAGTTTTGGGCTAGACATGGCACATGCTTGTAATCTCAACACTTGAGAGGCAGAGACAGAAGTATCACAAGTATCAAGACTAGCCTGGTCTATATAGCAAATTTTAAGTTAGCTTGGGTACTTATTTCTAACTTACTATACATTTACTATACATTACTATACATTTAAGTATTAGGATAAACTGTTATATCAATTTTTATATCAGAAAAACTTCAGCAATTCCTTTAATACCTGAGTTACATTTAGTGCTGTGTTCACATTTTTAATAGCTTCTTCAAAATTCTCTTCATCTTCTGGAGCTCCATTCTCATTCTTTAAAATCCCTGTTAAAGTAAGAAACAGTAAACAAACAATGGCTCTTTCTATTTTGTCTTCCCAACACAGAAAAACCTTGTGAGGCTCTAAACAGGGGGGGGGGTCATAATGCTGAGCCTTAACAGGAAATACAGCTAATATTTGTTCTTCTTAAACTATTTTAAAATGGCTCATTTATTCTGAAGGGAAAAGTAAAATTAAGAACTCATGATGGCATCATCTGACAAGAGAAATCCAATAAATACCGACTTCAAGCAATTGTTTTTTTCAAAATTTATGTAACACTATTATAATGCAGAAAATTACCTTGTCTAATCAAATCTCTGAAGTCTTCTTTTTCTTTATAGCTTTTAGGAATTCGCCCATTTGTCTAAATTAATTAAAAATTTTAAAGAGCTAGTTATTCAAACTCATAGTGGAAATTGAGTGTCTAAAGTTTTCTTCATTCTCCATAGTAAGATTTTATTTTAAAAAATGTCATATATGTATTTGAATATATATTATCAGTGACATCCAAGGCTCTCTTAATTTGGAAAGAGGAACCATAGGCCATTTCTTTCCATTCATTCCTCACAGTAGTTTCAGGATGAAATTTACTGAAATTCCCAACTTGTTAATTAAAAGATCAGTATTGAAAGAGTAGTAGTTGAATTTAAACTAAAAGTTCCCATTTTCAATACACTCTAGAGACACAGGAAAACATTAACCTCCCAGAACCCTCAAAAGAGATTGAAAATACAGTCACATATAATTTTTTTAAAAAAAGGGCATACTTCACTATACCACTGTGCTAAATATTTAGCTATGATCACAATCCATGGAGTATGGCTATGGTCCTAAAAACAAGACAACAAAAAAAAAAAAAAGAAGAAAATATCAGTATTAGTATTAATTCTTCACTTATACCATCTAGTTTTCAATATTTACAACTATCTTCTAATACATAGGAAGTAATAAACAGAGACAAATGAACTGGTTTGATAAAAAATGGTTTTAGAAATGATTTCTGAGTGGCTATGGGGTAGCTCAGTGAGTAAAATGCTTGCCAGGCATGGCTAAAAACTAAAACTTCAGTGAACAGAGGTCAGGACAGGCAGATCCTGGAGCTCTCACTGGCCAATCAACCTAAGTGAATGGCTAGCTCCAGGCTCAGTGACGAGGCACTGTCTCAAAAAGCAAAGTAGAAAGCAACTGAGAGAACCTGAGGTTTAACTCTGGCTCCACAGGTTCATATTTAGCTTTCTGTAACCCATCCCCCAACACACACACACTGAGAAAGAGACCATGAAAGAGAAAGACTGAGGTCAGGTATACAATAGTCCCTTTTGTTTTTCAGCAAGAAAAGCATCAGACACACCACCCAAAGGTACAGCTCTAATCTCTTCATTTCAGGTATCAATACTAGGCTGAAAAATGAGAACTTGCTGTTTTCTGATAACCAAATGAATTAACCGTAGGTTGAAAAGGAATTTAAAATTCCCTGGAGAAACAGGGCCACGGAGAGAACTAGGATAAATTAATGTTCATTTTCTTGACTTGGGTAGTGACTACACTGCAAACTTCGGTTTATCTACTTTTCTTCAACAAAAAAGTATTTTAGACAGGTGTGGTGGAGCATGCCTTTTTTCTCAGTACCTGGGAGGCAGAGACAAGTAAATCTCTGTGAGGTTAAGACTAGTCTAATTCTATAGGTGAGTTCTAATCCAGCCAGGGCTACACATGAGACCCTATTGAGTTTTCTTTTTCTTTCTTTCTTTTTTTTTTTTTTTAAACTTTTCTTTATCCAAACAAGAATATGAAGTTTACAATACTTTTCCACATTGGTATATTATATCAATGGAGACATATAAAAAATGCACACACACACACACACACACACACACACACACACACACAAAAAACCTTAGGTCTAAAAAAATAAAAAATTGAATTGAAGCCAGGCACAGTGGCACATACTCTTAATTCAGCACTCTGGAGGAGGCAGAGATAGAAGGACTGTCACCAACTGAGGGTCAGCCTGATCTACAGAGTATATTCTAGGCCAACCAGGATTATTCCTTGAGACCATATCAAAAATGTCAAAAGAAAAACAAAAGTTTAACTCTAAACTTAAGCACAAGAACACATACACACACACTCTTCTCTCTCTCTCTCTCTCTCCTTCCATCACTCCCTTCCTCCCTCCCTTTCTGTCTCTCTACCAACCTTTTTTTCCATATGCTCCAAATCGTAAGACTGAAAATGTTCTCTCAGTTCAGGAAATGGCTTATCTAGTCGTAGATCCTCCAATGCATTATCTGGATGTGATTCTATTACTGTCAAACAATCCCAAAAGATGCATTTAATTCTTTAATAATATACTACATTATAGGAACTTAAGACACATACACATTTTGTGTGACCAGTTGGTCGGAAATGGGGAGAGGGCAGGGAAATCCTTATTTTATAGCCCAGGTTAGCTTTGAACTCATGTCAATCCTCCTGCCTCATCATCCTAGTTGTTGTTATTGTAGGCATGAGCCACCAACACCTGACGTATAAGAGTGTGTGTGTGTGTTTGTGTATGTGTGTGTGTGTGAGAGAGAGAGAGAGAGAGAGAGAGAAAGACAGACAGACATAGTCTTACTTTAGCCTTGAGAGAGAGAGAGAGAGAGAGAGAGAGAGAGAGAGAGAGAGAGAGAGAGAGAGAGAGAGACAGACATAGTCTTACTTTAGCCTTGATTAGCCTGGAACTCATCATGTAAACCAGGCTGGTCTCAAAATCACAGAGATCTGCCTCCTAAGTGCTGGAATTAAAAATGAATGCCACCAAGGCTGGTTAGAAATCTATCATAGTTAGTTAGTTAGTTAAGTTAGTTAGTTTTTCAAGACAGGGTTTCTCTGTAGCTTTGGAACTAGCTCTGTGGACTAGGCTGGCCTTCAACTCACAGAGATCTGCCTGCCTCTACCTCCCTAATGCACCTGACAGAAATCTATAATCTTAATGGTCATAGTGCCTACTGCATTTTTTTTCACTGTGTTACTGGAGTATGACTTATATATAGTAAATATGCAAAGTTTAAGTGAGTTATAAGGGTCTGTTTTCTTTTAAGGCTATCCCAGCCTCACCTTGAACTCTATAATCTTCTTAGTACTAGGATTATAGGCATGTGTATTACTTCATCTGGCTGACTATAAGTTTTAATGAAAGCACAATTCCTTTAAAACAGAATTTATTACTGTAACTGAGAAAGTTCCAGACTGACAAATGTATGCATAGGCAACTCCATCCTTCTCCATCATCTTCAACAGAAAGCATTACTACCTACATAGCCCTCTTCCCTAGAAGAGGGTATCCTGGATGTTTGCTTCTTTTACCTCAACATCAGTTATTCTCCACTTCCTGATCTGACTTTGGACACTGCCCTACACGTGAGAGAATACAAAACAATGTGCAATTTCAGTGAGTGTTTGTAATGAGGTTATAATTTTGCCACTTGCTATGTCACTTCAGACAAGTAACAAATATCTTCCTATGCAGATATGGTAATATCAGCATAATAAAGATTTTCTAAAGAGTAAATGAAATCATTTACATAAAAGCAGACATACAGCTAACAATAAGACCTTCTAATTACCATGTTTCCTTTTACCCATTCCTAAAAACATCTTCCCTAAGCTAGAGGCTCTTGTCTTCTCTCCCTCCTTCTCCCTTCCTCACCCCTCCTCCCATCATACCACCAGAAATTTCACAGCCTTCAATCTTTGCTCCTTTAAGTTCTTCACTATCTACTTAACGTTAGGGTGATCTGTTTAAAGTAAAAAGTTTACTCTGTCACTTTCCCACTTTTAACTTTTTGTTTTGTTTTTCAAGATACAGCCCAGCAAATATCATTTTTTTTTTTTTTTTTTTTTTTTTTGTTTTGTTTTGTTTTGTTTTGTTTCCAAGATAGGGTCTCTCTGTGTAGCCCCATCTGTCCTGGAACTTGCTCTGTAACCAGGCTGGCCTTGAACTAACAGAAATCTTCCTGCCTCTGCCTCCCCAGTGCTAGGATTAAAGGTGTGTGCCATCACAGCTCCCCCACCACACACACACACACACACACACACACACACACACACACACACTTTTAACTCTTAAATATCCCAACATCACTTGCTAAAAGATTATCCTACCTGGCCAAGTGACACTACTTCTTGTGATACTGTCATTGTTAATAGCTATTATTACTTAGAGTACTACAGGAAAATTTTATAAAATTCTAAGATTAAGATTCTAAAGGAAAAGCTGATATCAACCCTCGGCTGATGTAAGCCTGTCTATGAATGTCTCTGGTCTCATTTAACACTGTTTCTATAGGAATAGGAGTAAGGAAAAAGGCTTATCGTGTGTAATTGAACATGAAATGGGAAATCTAAGGCCAGTATGAGACTGGAACAAGACTGGTATGAAATGTTGGTATAATGCAGTGGTTCTCAACCTGTGCGTTATGACTCCTTTGGGGTTCAAATATCAGATATCCTGCATATCGGATAATTTACAACTCATAACAGTAGCAAAATTACAGTTATGAAGTACCAACAAAATAACTTTATGACTGGAGGTCACCACAACATGAAGAACTGTATTAAAGGGTGGCAGCATTAGGAATGTTGAGAACCACTAGTGTACTGTCTGTATCAAAGTGACACGTGCACTCACTCTTGTGGTAGCCATAAATACACTACTTGAGTTAGGGAGAAAAAGAACCAGGCACTTACACAGTGGTCAAACCTCTTAACAAGATGAAGTTGTACATTACGTCTCTGATCTGCATCTATCTATAATGCTATGATATGTAAGGAAATAGCAGACAAAACCTATGGAATCAGTCTAGAGAGATGCCTCAGTGATTAAAAGCAGTGGCTGCTCTTCCAGAGGACCCAGGTTCCATTTCTAGGACTAATGTAATGGCTCACAACCATCTGTAACTCTGGTTCTAGATGATATGAGGGCCTCTTCTGGACTCTGCAGGCACCAGGCATATACTTGGTATACAGCCATACATGCATGCAAGACATCCATACACATATAAGTAAATTAAAAAAAAAAGACAAACTATTGAATCTGATTGTTTCTTTAAACCTGTAGCCAGAGATATACTGCTATAAATTTAGAGCTCAAACAACCAATAGCAAGTCCCATATGCTTAACAATTTTACCTGGGTGTTCTTTTATAATAATCCTCATATAACCAACTAGTCCATATGTCCTACAGATCAAAAGAGGGATCTGGGAATTCCAGAGGACATCTGCTAAACGAAGTAATGTACTGTAAAGGAAGGCAAATAAGAACATAAGCAAGTGAATATATGCCAGACATGGAACTGTCTAACATAAATAAGCAAGAGTTTAATGGAAAGCAAGCAATTTCACTTGGCTGCAATCTCAAAAATGTTGAACAAGAAGGATGTAAGACCCTAATCTGTTTTATTAGGAAAAATGCTGGTAAAAACATTAAACCTTTTTGATTTGTTTTGTTTTGTTTGTTTGTATTTGGTTTTTGGTTTTTTGAGACAGGGTTTCTCTATGTAACAGCCCTAAATGTCCTGAAATTCACTCTGTAGATCAGGCTGGCCTCGAACTCATAGAGATCTGCCTGCCTCAGTCTCCTGAGTGCTAGGATTAAAGGCATGCACCACCATGTATATATGTATACACCTACAAATCTTCCTGTAATTAATAACAATTTAACTAATTTGTATTTAATTTTCTAGGTTTTGGTATTTTTGAAACTATGTAGTTCAAGCTAGCCTGAAACTTACTGTGTAGGCCAGACTGACCTCAAACACAAAAAATGAGTGTTGAGTTTACCGGCTTATAGCACCATAATTGACTTCTAATTAATATTTCATCATTTAGCAATATCTAATGTTCACTTAAAGCTCTAAATATACCCAAATATTTTACTTTTTCTTCCCTATGCTTTCAAAGCTAGAATACATACAAGAGCATCAAATTAAATACTTCTTTTAAGAATTTTAGACACCAGACAAAATATGTATACAGAAAAATGTACATAGGGAAAACTATGCAAATAAAGTAAGACTAAGAAAGATATTAACATCTAAAATTTACCTTTCAAGAAGCTGAGTTGCAACCACAACAGTAAACCTACAGAAAAATGAAGGATCATTGTCTAGAAGGTTTTCTGGACTCTAAATAAGACAAGGGGAGGAAAAATTCAACAATTTCACAAATTAAACATGGCAGGAGCAGTTAAGCTATATTAAAAAAAAAATGAGCCGACAAATTAAATTCCAACTAAATGTAAGTAATACAATGACTCAAAATTCTAAGTTCTGGGACTTTGAATTATTTTTAAAAATATACTGCATTATAGAAAAAACAATATATATGTATTATACCTCTTCCACAAAACTTCCAGAGACATCGCTATTTAGTTCTTGTAAGAATTCCATGGCAGCTTGAGCTCGGTTCTTTCAAAAACAAAGCATTTGACTTGAATTAGAAAGTACTTAACTACAATACAATCCCCAAGCTTACAGATCAAGAAAAACTGTGGAAATTTCCTAATTCCATGCATAGATGTGACAATTCTACTCCTCAGTATTTAACTGAGGTTCAAGCAGAATGTTACTCAGGGTTGAACCAGATTAGCACTACCAGAGTTCTTAAATGACCACATTATTTGCCCTCACTTTTGTGACAGGTAAATGACAAAAATAGGTGGCAGGCAGGGTTACACTGGATCAAGTTCAGACACACTCTATAATCACCCATGTCTATAATCCCATCATTAAATAAGTGCAACTTTCATTCTGAATATGAACATGGATTTCTAAAGTTTTCACTTAAACTATAAAAATAAAGAATTTTCTGGCTAACTCCACTTACTAATTTCTTAACCATAATACTCCATCCACTGAACATCAAAGTTATTAGGACTTTAGTAAAGGACAGAGTAAAAACACAGGCAGTACTCTAAAATTCTTCAACTACCAAAAGAGATTTGCCAGATTAGAAAATGAACTATCCCTACTTTTTACTCAGAGAATAAGATCTTTTAAAGTCAGAACTTTTCTAGCAGCCAAGATAAAGTGGATTATTAGATGTTCACATACAACCATACTTTGTAACAGTGATTGCTTACCTTGCCAATACTGCTTTTTTGAAGGAAAAAACTAAAGGGGATTAAAAAAAAAAATTCAAGATTTATATGGCTATAAAGCAAAAGTTGTTTACCATTTGTAATAATGTCTATCACATTCAAATATTAATCAATTGTATGTGTGTGTTTACTTTTCTTTACCACTGAGCTATATGCTCCCTAACCCACAAACACTATTTTCATAAAAGACTATAACAGTCTTTTTTGGAGGAAGAAAAGTGGACAGGTTAGTAAATCAGTGTTCCTCAAGACAAATTTCACAAGATGCTCTGAGAGTTCTAAGAATGAAAAAGAGAGGAAACACCATATGTTATACCACCTTCTTGGAAAGTCATAATGTACCTGATAATAAAGTTATATAGTAAAGAAATTATAACCTCCTTTGAACCATTCCCCAAACTCATTTGACCATGAAATCCACTGTCCCATTTAAGAGCTATTAACATTTCCTATAACCAACATTCTGCAGACACTTGGGAAATGCTGTAGTGAACTGTTTGCTTTGGCAAGAAATTACCAAAGATTCACTCAGGCTTCCTCCCACACATATGCCGGTCACATCCCATAGGCCTAAATTGAGGCTGCTGATGAGAATCTAGGCACAATTTTGTGGCAAGGACACATGGTTCCATAAAAAAAGAAACCTTGGGCTGGAGAGATGGTTCAGTGGATAAGAGCACTGACTGTTCTTCTGGAGGTTCTGAGTTCAATTCCCAGCAACCATATGGTGCCTCACAACCATCTCTAGTGGAATCTGGCATAAAGTCATACATGCAGATATAGTAATCATACATAAAATAAATCTTTAAAAATGGAAAAACAGAGAAACCTTATACTTAGCACATCCTACATAATCAGCCAGATAAGCTACAATAATACAACTTTTATTACTTTACAGATATCAATAAAAGAGTTGTGGATAGCAGAAACATACTATAATCCAAAGAAAAAGTATTAAAGTAATATGAACTAAATTCTGTTTTTCCTTGAATTAATGTTTACTTGCTATTTAGGGACAAATATAATGGGCTCTAAACCCTTGAGGAGAATAAACATGAAATCAAATTGGGAAAAGTTCTCAAACTCTAAATATGACTATCTCTATAGAACAAAACACAGATCACCTATAAAGAAGCATTTTTAAATAACATGGTACAATGAGAAATATACCAGACTACATTTAAAAGATAAAAATGAGAGGTACTGCTCTTATTCCTTTTTCTTTTTTAAAGATAGTCTCACTGTTTAGCTCTGGCTGTCCTGGAACTCACTATGTATATCAGGTTGGTCTTGAACTCACAGAGATCCACTCTACCTCCTGAGCACTGGAATTAAACGCATGTGTCACATGTTCAGTTAACTGTTCTTGCTTATTGTATTTGATGTCCCAAACACAATTATTATACTGCACTAACATTAAGGATTTAGATAGGACTCAGAATTCACAGGTAAGAGAAAAATGACTACCACTTTGTACTAACAGCAGTGAAGACAGTGACAATGAGTTCTGTTTGTTTTTAGTTTACTTGCCAGACACTGTCCCAGCACTTCACCTTTATTCACTCACTTTTTCCCCATAACCTACACACACACACAGTCATGAGGTTCAATTAGCACTCAGGCTCATCCTGAGCGCACTACCTTCTAACAGGTTCATATGGTAAAAGAACAAGACATACTTGTTTCCAGCATCTTCTCCGCTGACCTGCTTTCCATCAATAATTGTAAATGATCCAATACCTGAGGAGACAAAAGACAAGTCAAAAACATGTTTTGGTTTGGTGTTTTGTTTTGCACTTATTGATTTGAATGTCAGGGTACTTGGCTACTGCACACATGTGGAGGCCAAAGGTCAACCCATGGGAGTTGGTTCTCTCCTTCCAGGGGTCAAACTCAAATTGGCAAGTGAGTACCCACTGAGCCATCCTGACAGCCCAAGAATAAGTACTTTTTATGAGAACCTTAAGTTACTTAGAAAACAATCACCAATGTTATATTACCTGGTAATACCAAGTTTTTAAGAATTTCAGTTCCTGTAGCAGTTGCATTTATTAGGCAAACATGTGCAGATTCTAAAGCTTCTTGCCCATGATCACCCCACAACCTACAAAACAAAACACAAATTGAACATTAAAAAGTTCTCAAAAATAATGACTTTCTTATTTGAATGATGATATTTAAAGTATTCTTCTATAAAATAACATATAACATACCATAGCAAACATGTGAGATACGAACTGATATAATTGTGAGGGTTATCTGACAATGTAATTGAAAACTTCGATCAATCATCCTTTGTATGATATAATCAGTACTATTAAGCTGTCTTTCTAGTCTTTGTTTTATTCCTTTGAAGCCAGGTAATTTATAGAACAGAAAGCCTAGGAATATACTTATTAACATTAAAGAAAGGTGCTAACACCTTTGTCTCAGCACTTATTGTCTCAGCTTTTCAGAAAGCTGAAGCAGAAAATTATATAATGTTAATTGAAATATAAACAAATAAAATCTATAAAAATACAATAGCCAATGAACATTCTAGAATGATTAAAAGGTGCATACATTAACAAACATGAAGGTATAATAAGAATCAGAAATACAAGTTATAACCTGATTGATACTGGCATATCATTAACAAGTTCATAATCACACACATACCATGGTTTTGGGGCCAATCTGGTCACCTTGACTCCCTGACTCCTTCACGTAAAACACATACCCAAAACAAACCCAACCAAAAAAAAAAAAATCTACTATTTTTTTCTTCAGAACAGAAAACATGGGGAAGCTCAAAAGTACTATTAAATGCCCACAGGACGAAGAAAAGACTCTGACATTCTTTTCCTGCCACCATAATAAAGCCTACCTCAACAAATTGCACCATTTGAGTTTTCATTTACTGAGCATCTATCTCTTCACTTTAAAGGGTCCCAGACCACACTGCTGACACAGGGCTTTTGCCTAGAAGAGCTGATCACTGAATGCCTGTCAGTTGGAGGAACAGCCTGGGAAATGGGACACTTGCTGGCCTGAGAGCCAGGCCTTGATCACTGGCTGCTACCTGCCCATCCAACTTCATTTCTGTTTCCTTCTGACCCTAAAGCCATAAGCAGTTCTCATTATACTGGATAAAATTTTGTACTTTAAGGAATGGACTTAATAAAAATCCTCTTCTGGTACCTAGTAACCTTAAATATCTTCTCAGTTTTGTTGTCTATGGTTTTATGTACACCCAAAACACAAGAACTACAAGAGTATAAAAGAATTCATAGTAGTTACAGTTCTGTTGACTTCTCTCTCTCTCTCTCTAGAAGCTTGGGAAAAAGGATGGTTATGAAAAAGCTAAATGGACCCAAGTTGAAAACCTAACTTTTTTACAAGTCTTAGTTGCCGGTATCAAAGACCTTCTGCCTTCAAGGACAGGCTCAGAACTAAGTGTCTAAATCCCTGGTGCAGTACTAATTAGGCTGTCAGTACAAAGGGAAATTCCCATCTTTAGGGACACAGTGTATCATGGGAGCTCCTGAGAGGAGAGGTGGTGGCAAGCACTTTTATAACTTCCATTGACTCAACATACAGAAGATAATAAGTAAGAAAAGGAGAGGGAAAAGAGCAAGGATGGGGAAGTAGTTGAGGGATCCACCTGATGGTTTAAATATGCCCTGTCTGTTAAGATTATTTACAAATGGCTACTGAATCCTAGAAATGCAGCTAGCATGAATTAAGACATTCTTTATGTGTGAAATACTTGATTTATAAGACAGTGTTAACAACAACAACAACAAAAAAAAAAAGCCGAGTAACTTTTTTCACAATAATTCCATGTTGAAATGGTAATACTCTGGACATACTACGTTAAATAAACATTATTTTAAAATGATTCTGGTGATGGGGTATGTAAGTTTGGCACCATGCATGATGCCCAGAGTTCCACCCTCGGCACCTAGAAAAATGGATGTGGTTCTCTCCACACGGGTAATCTCAGCTGTTGGGACAGAGGCAGGAGGATTGCTGCAAGTTTGAGCCCAGCCAGGTGTACATGGCAAGTTCCAGGACACTCAGGGTGAAAGGATGAGAGGAGAAAGGACAAAAACTTGTATTTGAGCCTGGCCTGGCAGAGAACATCTGCAATCTCAGCACCTGGGAGATAGATGCTTAAGTTCAAGGCCAGTCTGGACTGCGTAAGGCCGTTTCTCAAAATAAAGAAGGGTAGGAGGCAGCAGTAGCAAAAATTACTTCCCCGGCATTTTACTCTCCCCATCCCCAGGTCCCTCCTTTGTAGCCCAGGCTGGCTCGCAATTTCCGATCCACCTGCCTCTGCCTCTCAAGTCCTGGGATTACCAACGAGAGTCCACCACCACGTCCGGCTTCTTTTAACTTATTTCAAAGATGCCTACTGTAAAAATTATAATTGCGGACACAGATTGCTCACATGGAACTATCATTATGCATTTCTATTGGACAGCGCTGGCGTGGAACAGTATCAGCCACTCGGTGCAGCACACTCGGTGCAGCACACTGCGGTAGGGATGGGATACTCCCGATCCTCTTGTTCGGTGAACGCAGGGGGCCGGCCACGACGGTGCAGACCAGGTTCGAGGAGACACCGTGCACCTCCAACCGCACACAGCCTGGCGCGGCCCTGCAGGAAGGGGCGTCCCGGCCTTCGCCCAGCACTGTGGCCGGTGACCAGAGCCTAGAGCGCCGGCTCCCCACGCCCCGCACCGCCGCGCGCCGCGCCGCGCCGCGCCAGGCCCGAGGGAGGCCCGCCCAAGCCGCCGAGGCACTTAGGCCCCACAGGCCTCCGGAGAGCCCGCAAACCCGCCGGCTCGCTCACTGGGAAACCCTGGCTCACCTCAGCTGCCGGTCGTACTTCTGCTCCTTGAGTAGTTTCCCCTGTTGCGCCATTGCCGCGCCGGCCCAGCGTACAGCAAAGCCGAGGTAGTAGGTCCCCACCCACTCACTTGTGCGCAGGCGCACTTAGGAGCCTTTGGTGACCACCGCCTGCAGTGCGCCGCCAGTAGGAGGCGACGCAGCCGCACTGCGCACGCGTCACGGGGAAGTCAGGCAAACTAGAGGCTGGGTCCAGAGTAGTTTCCCTGTACCTGCAGTAACTGTGGAGAACTCTGTTTTTAAAATCAAGCCGACTTGGATTTTAATCGCTTACTAATTGTGAAAAATGGCTCTTTCCCGTTCCAACCTTCAGTTTGTTCACCTGTGAAATGGTCCCTTTTTTAAAATGAGATTTTGTAGCTGGGCGGTGGTGATGCATGCCTTTAATCCCAGCACTTGGGAGGTAGAGGCAGGTGGATCTCTGTGAGTTCAAGGCCAGCCTGGTCTACAGAACGAGTTCCAGGACAGCCAACGCTGTTACACGGAGAAATCCTGTGGGGGGGGATGGGGGGGTTGATGAGATTTTGTTTGTTCTCACTATGTAGCCCTGATTGGCCTGGACTCACTATGTAAACATACTGGCCTCAAACTCACATAGAAGACCTGCATCCTGAGTGTTGAGATTAAATACATGTGCCACCATGTGGGTCTTGAACTGAGATTTTAAATACAGAGAGCGTCAGACTCACACAAAGGTCTTGTATGGACAACTTTCATTATGATTCCTCTGATTCACCCATTTCTTCCCTCCTCTCACTAGGCAAGCCCACACCTTGACCTGTTTCAAACGACAAAGCTAGCGGCTTCTATCAGTGAGGCAAACACTGATAAACCTCAGTTCTCTTCTGAGTGAATTAACAGCTCCTGAGGGCCTCCCGAGGGGGACAGTACACCAGCATAGTACCAAGGTGGCTCTCTTACCCTAGTGGGTAGATATAGGAGCCCCACCCCACTACTTCCCTCCAAGAATGTTTCCTGTGGTGGAGGGATGGAATGATGTTTTGAACAGGAAGGAGCAGTATCATCTCTTAAGAGTTCCCTCATAGCCAGGTGGTGGTGGCACATGCCTTTAATTCCAGCACTCTGGGAGGCAGAGGCAGAGGCAAGTGCTTCCCTAATAAATAAATCATTATCTTGGGTTGGTGGACTCATTTAAACCCCTCTTTGAGTTCGACGCCAGCCTGTTCTACAAAGAATCCCAGGACAGCCAGAGCTATACACAGAGAAACCCAGTCTTGGAAGAGAGAGAGAGAGAGAGAGAGAGAGAGAGAGAGAGAGAGAGAGAGAGAGAGAGAGAGGATGATGAAGGAGAAGAAGAACAAGAACAACAAGAAGAAACAAAGGGGGAAGAGTCCCTCGGGTAACAAATGAGAAGAGAATTGGGAAGTTTAAGAGGCAGCTGGGGCTGGCCATGAAGGTCATAAACAAGGAGAAATTTAAAACTGCAATTGCCATGTGGCACAGGATGACTGTCCTGTGGTGGCCAATGCTAAGGAAGGAGTTTATGAGCAAGTTGAAGACCAGAGGAAGCAAGAGGCTTGATGACAAGTAGAAAAGGAAATAAGAATTCCCCTTCCTCTGTATCCCAATCTCTACAGGGGTCTCCAGATTAATGATTGCTAGATCCCTCCCCTCACATCCTGAGATTATTATCTCGGCCCATAATGAGACTATATCTTCACACACATGGTCTCTCCAGTCGCAAGGGGTTGCAGGGACACAAGAGGTGGCTCAGTTTGACAGTAATGTTGCAGTGCTGATAAATCCACTTCCCCTGGGCACAGTGTCAGGACTGAGTTAAGAGCACACCCTGCCATGACTTCCCTCCCAGCCCCTATGGAACCCAACTGATGGGAGAGAAGGGCATGAGGCTTTCCCAGCTCATGACGTGCATCTGTTGTCACATTTCCTTGTCCAGTTAAACAGGTGAAACATGAGAGATAATAAAATACACTCAGGGAATGCGAGAAGGTCAAAAGAGACAGGTGAAAGTTCACTCCATAGCCTCTCATTCACAATGGCACCAGGAAAGGAAAAATCAACAAATGTGATTGAAAATGAACTGGGGGCAGGGATGAAGGGTTGTACTTTGAGAAGGATTGAGTTGTTGATGTCTGTAAAAAGATACCTCAGAGCATGCATTTCTTACAATTTTTCATATTTACTTATTTATGGGGGTGTGTGCAAGAATGTCATGATGCACCTGTGGAAGACCGAAGACAACTTGCAGAGGTCACTTCTCTTCTTCCATGCAGGTTCCAGGGAAAACCCAAGTCCTCCAGTTTGATGGGAACCTTTTCCTCCTGAGCCATCTTTCTGCCTCTTTCCTTTAAGAAAAAAAATATTTCTAAATGTGCATATGTGTGTGTGTATTCACATTGTAAGTGCATGCGTTACAGGTGGTTGTGAGCCATCCAGTGTGGGTGCTGGAAACTGAACTTGGGTCCTCTGCAGAGCAACATGTGCTCCTAGCTGCTGGGCCTTCTCTCCAGCCCTTGAGATTTGCTAACTTAAAAAAAAAATGGTGCAAAGGAAAAGAAAGAACTCAGAAAGTAGTCTGTCACTTTAGTCACTGAAATTAAAAGATTGAAGCAGGGCCTTTCCAGAAGCAAGCTGTACCCTGTAGGCCACAAGAAGGAGTTAAAATATTTGCATGGAAAAAAACAAAAAACAAAGAAAGAAAGAAAGAAAGAAAGAAAGAAAGAAAGAAAGAAAGAAAGAGAAAGGAAGGAAGAAAGAAAGAAAGAAAGGAAGGAAGGAAGGGAGAAAGAGTGAAGGCCAGGCGTTGGTGGCACACGCCTTTAATCCCAGTACTCAGGAGGCAGAGACAGGCAGATCTCTATGAGTTCGAGGCCAGCCTGGTCCACAGAGCAAGTTCCAGGACAGGCTCCAAAGCGATACAGAGAAACCCTGTCTTGAAGAACAAAACAAACAAAAAGAATTAGAAACAAATACTATGACATTTCTAGCCTTACCAATTCAAGTCTGTTATTTCACCCATCCTTGTTGATCTCTACCCTGATGGTCTAGAGATTTAGGAGAAATTGATGGTCTAGAGATTTAGGAGAAATTGAAGACAGTCTATGATCTGTGAGAGACCAGCCAAGTATGAAAACAGTAACATCTCTTGTGGTGCTTGACCACTAGACCTCTCTGTCTGATCTTCTCCAACAGATGCTCATTGTCTGATTATTGCCTCTCTCCCTAACCTTATAAGCAGCCTGAAGCAACTGTGGGTCTATAATGTTCACAGTCATATCCCTCATAACTGACCCCCCACTTAACATTTGCAAAGTGTCTGATAAATGCTTCCTGAATGATGGGATAAAGAAAAATACATACATACATACATACATACATACATACATACATACATACATGCTTTTATTTATGTGTCTGAACCTGAGTTTATCTGTAACACATGAGTGCAGAAACTGCTGGAAGCCAACTTCAGTTACAGAAGCTTATGAGCCCTTGTGTGGGTGCTAGAAATGGAACCTGGATCCTCTGGAAGAGCAGCCAATGCTCTTAACCACTTAGCCATCTTCCCAGATCCCACTGTATTTATTCTGTATTTTATATTATTTGGGAGCTGGATGTGATATTGCATGCCTTTAATGCAAGCACTTGGGAGGCAGGGGTAAGCAGAACTTTGTGAGTTCAAGGCTAGTCTGACCTATATAGAAAGTGCCAGGCCAGCCAGGGCTACACAGTGAGACTGTGTCATTACAAATCAGATGATTTGCAAGATGACTTAGCAAGTAAGGACACTTAATGCTGAACTTGACAGCTTAAATTTGATAACCAGGATCCACATGGTGGAAAAAAAGAACTGAGTCCATAAAGCTGTCTTCTGACTTACACACACATCTGGAAACATGTGCACGCACGCGCACGCACGCATACACACACACACACACACACACACACACACACAGAGAGAGAGAGAGAGAGAGAGAGAGAGAGAGAGAGAGAACCAAAAAAATAAACATAAAATATTTGCTTTGGTTAGCAGGATGGTTCAGCAGATACAAGTGCTCTTCAAGCCTTGTAGACTGAGCTGGATCCCCAGAACCAACAGTAGAAGGAGAAAACTGACTCCCAAAAGTTGTCCTCTGACCTCCACATACATGCCATGGCACCTACCAAAAAGCACACACAAAACAACAAATCATTAAAATGACACTTGGCAATGTGTCTATCATTTACTCTGTTAATTTCATTTCTGGACATTTATCCTAAGGAACTCAACACACACAAGCACACACACACACACACACACACACACACACACACAAAGTTGGATGAATAAGGATGTTCAGTGCAATGTTATTTACAGTATTGAAAACTGGAAGGTCTACCAGAGCAATGTATGAAGAGTCAGTGTGAACTTCTTCAAGGCTAATCAAGCAGGGATGGATGTGCTTACCTAGGGCAGTAAATGAAAAGGCTGGTGACAAGGCTATATACATAATCTTGATTGCTTATGCATAGTAGAAAAGTCTGGCATGAGAGTCACTAAAATATTAGCAGTGGTGATGCTTGGGGAGTGATAGCACAGTAATTTAAATTTTCTTATTTTCTTACATGTATTTTCCTGATTCTAACAAAGTTTCTGAAGTAGAAATGTGTCTTTATAATTTTAAAAGAAACATTTGGGGTTTTAAATTCTCCAATGCACTACGCAAAAGGGGGAAAGGGTATAAATCCTAGGAACAGAGAATTGCATCTGGGGTGCCAGTAGTCACAGTTACTATCTCCTCTGACCATCTTGTGGTCTACTAGGCTCTCTATTCCAACCTTATAGATTAATTGATAAGTAAAATGTAAATTCAGACTCAAAAAGGTTAAGCTATCTTAAAGATGGTGATCCTGGGAGCATGAACAGCATTTTTGTGATCTACCTGTATCTACATTCCAAGACCCATTACTTTACACCATATGTATATATGTATATATGTATGCACACACACACACACACACACACACACACACACACACTTGAAGTGGGACCATATGTGGTGTGTGTGTGTGTGTGTGTGTGTGTGTGTGTGTGTGTGTATTGCTAT